TAACCCAAAAAGACACATGGTGTTGAGCATTTTTCTAATTTATTAGAAGTGTATGGCCGAATCCAGGGGTAACACAAGCAGCCAAAGACTTTTAATTTGGTGTAATTCGGCTCTTTGTTATGAAGTTTTTTGGTGTAATTCGGCTCTTTGTTATGAAGTTTAAAAAATGGTGATTGATTGTGAAGAATCGGAGTAGGCATTCGATTTATCAAATAAACTGCAGTATGAAACGCAAAAGACCAGAATTCAAGAGGTAAATCAGCTTGATGGAGAAGAGTTAACCCAGTTTCGACAATATGCCGATGTCGATAGGCAGAATTGCTCGGCGGCGGCCCCTTGCATAAGGTGAAGAAACTCATAATGGGAAACACCATGTGCTTGGAAGAAACTCATAAGGTGAAGAAACTCTCCTGCATTATTAGAATACAAAGATCCAATTTTTGTTTTAAAATGATTCTCAACTAAGGTTTTGAACACAGGAAAGATGGCAGACACTTCAGATTTACGTTTCAAAGTATATAGCCAGACATATTTAGTATAGTGATCAACAAATATAAGATAATAAGAAAAACCATCAATAGAAGTAACCGGTGCAGGTCCCCAAGTATCGGAATAAATTAACTCCAAAGGAGCAGTACTAGACATTGACGAAATCGAAAAAGGATTTTTGTGCATTTTATTGCACTTACAGGAATTGCAGAAAAAATTATTATCAGACACAGACAAACTAAGGTGCCATAACATAAGACGCAAAATAAGAGTGGCCGGATGACCAAACTGTTGATGCCATAAGGATGGAGAACGAGAAACAGTATGTAAAACACGACTCGGATTATTGCTGGAGACAGGCACTTGCTGCGGCCATTCATAGATTCCATTAACCGGTTTCCCTTCCACCAATCGCACCCCCATGTTCAAATCCTTTACATAAAACATAAAAGGATTAAATGCAACCTCAACATTGTTAGCAGTACACAATTGATAAACAGAGATCAAATTTTTATCAATAGCAGGAGCACAAAGAACATTTTGTAACTGTAACGGTTGTAACGGTTTTGTTTTAGTCAAAAGCAAAGCAGAACCTTTATGAGAGATGGAATGAGCTGTACCATCACCAAGAACAACATCATCGGTACCAAGAACAACATCATCTGTTCCATCATATTCAGAATGAACAGCCATGTTTCGCACATCTTGAACCACATGCTGATTGGCCCCAGAATCCACTATCCATCGCGGATGAGCAGCAGAGTTTGTATTCACGCAATTGACTTGTGATTGAGCAACAGGTTTGGCCGGCGATTAAGATCCCTCAAATAGCCAGGGAAGCAACTTTTTCAGTTTGTAACATTGTTTGGTAGTGTGTCCAGGGCGATTACAAAATTGACAAGACACCTTGCCTTTAGAATTCGAAAAATTTCGATTACCAGACCCAGTTCCAGATCCACCAGGCTTGGAATTATGAAAAGCAGAACTTGGTCGGTTCTGCAGTGAATTTATAGTCGTTGGAGCCACAACTACGGTAGCTGAGTGAGATAACTGACTTTCGAAGTCAGTAAGTTTAGCATATAACTCATCAAAAGAGACATCATTGTCCCTAGCCCTGAGTGCCGCCACAACTTCTTTGTAATCACTTGGTAAACCACGAAGAACATGAAGCAAGACTTCTCCCATAGAAACAGTCACGCCTGCCAGTGCCAGCGTAGCAACTATAGTTTTAATACGCTGAAGATACTCAGTAGCAGTAGAACGACCCATCTTCGCATTGAACAAGGACCCTCTCAAGCTCATGATTCGAGCTTGAGATCATTTGGCATACGTCTTCTCTAAAGTTCGCCACATAGCAAAAGATGTATTTTCACCAATAACAAATGAAATTAATTCAGGTGAGAGAGATGCAATAAGTGCACTGCGCAAGAGTTCATCTTGATGTAGCCAGAATGGGTCTGTGGCAAGAGTGGCTGGAATTTCAGTTTCAACAAATTTCAACAGATCATAGCCCACAAGCAATAAATACCACTACGTATGCCAGGACTGATAATTAGTAGAGTTTAATTTGAGTGGTGCTTGAGCTGCAGAATTAATAGACACCAACTGGTTTTCTGCGTTTAGACTTAACGCAGTTGTGGGTATCACAGGAGTACCAGGAGAGGAGATGTTAATCGGAGAAGGAAGACTTTGAAGAGTCCCCGTCACCACGATCCCATTGCAACGAAAGAAACTGAATTTGATATAGAAGAAATTAGTATCAGAAAAGCTTAGAGAGCGGAAAGGTCTGATACCATAACAAGAAAGGTTTCTATATATGTTAAATTGAAATTAATGTTTACAATTAACAGCAGAGTATATATACAAAGAGTATATATACAAGTTATGGATTAGAATACACTCCTATATTTACGTAACATAAATCTATCTACACAACAGAATTTGATAGATTCTGTTTAACACCAGTATTCTGTTTTAACTAGCTGGAACTTCATCCTTACCCAATAGATCAAAACTCATAGTTAGCTTTTAGGATGACATGCTAGCTATGAGTAGTGGAATGTAGGATACGGAAATTAATCGAATCATATATCGAAAATGGGAAAACTAATCATCATAAACTCCTTTTGGTGGAATGGCTTGGAGAGTTGAAAGAATTTCAGAGTTAATCGTGCTTGCTTAACGGAAATCGTAAGATGGATGACCTCTTGGGAAGTTTCTCATTTCATCTGTAGGACAAAATTGTGTAGGTCTTGCCAATCCAGTATGGGATGGAATTGGCTTGATCCAAAGCAGATAATTCCTTTGATAGTTAGAGTCGGGCGTGATAATATCCTTACACTAGAGATGTAAGGGTGATAGCGGGTCAGATACTGGTCAAAAATAGGCTATCCAAACCCGAATTCGATTAGAGATTTTGGTACCCAAACTGTTTTGGAAGTTTACTTTTATTACCTGAATCCATTTAAACCCAATTGCAATTATCTGGTTATCCATTTAACACTAAAAAAAATATTTTGTTTTTAATTTTTTTAAAAAAACGTAAACGTCATAAAACTATTTTTTAATTTATACAAATTTTGATTTATACAAAAATATGATATTTTTTGCTAAGCTAAGTATAGTTATAGTATTAACCATAATTAGGGGGTAAAACTAGAATACAGATTTAAAAATTTATGTACTAATACAGAATTTATTTTCACAGTTAAACTTAAACTAGTTAGATATAAACCGTTAGATTTAAAATTGATCAAATGATTTATTACCTATAAAATGGATTATCAAAAGTAGACCATTTAGTTTTTTATTATTCAAATAAAAAAAAATAACATTTTCAAGATAACTACAATTATATAAAACAAAAAATTCAAAGATAAATAGTTGTCTAATACTTCAAATTCATTTATTCAAAATAAATAAAATTTTTATTTTCTTATTGTTAAAAACGTTTATCATGTATCATGTAATTTAAATAATATCATATATACATGACATCTCATTATGTTTTAATATAATATTTTTTAATTAAAAATTAAATTATATAACTCCAATACTTGACTTATAAAATGGACCCTTATCAAATTATATAAATTTTTTTAAGTATTCAGAAAAGGGTATTCGAATTTGAACCTATTATCAAACCGTATATATACTTACCACTATGTTATGTCTTGGTGTGCTAAATTATATAAATCAAACTATATAAATTGTACCTTGTTACTTCTAATTTGTAGTTTAACTAATCATAATTGTTATCTTATATTTATTTACATTTTTTTAAAAAAATAATCCATATTGTTTATTTAGTCTTAAAAATATTTATTTAGTTTTTGAAAATATGAAATTATATATATTCGTATATATAAAATAATTATTTTAAAATTAATTAATCTTTGAAATATGAATTATAATATATTCGATATATAATAATTTATTTTAAAATTAATTAATCCTTCAAAATTTAACTTTGAATCAAATTTATTTTCATTTAAAATTCTATTTTATATTTTTTCAAAATAATTGTTACTTCTAATTTGTAGTTTAACTAATCATAATTGTTATCTTATATTTATTTACATTTTTTTAAAAAAATAATCCATATTGTTTATTTAGTCTTAAAAATATTTATTTAGTTTTTGAAAATATGAAATTATATATATTCGTATATATAAAATAATTATTTTAAAATTAATTAATCTTCAAATTTCAACTTGATCAAATTTATTTTCATTGTAAATTCTATTTTATATTTTTCAAAAATGAACTTTTACATACTCATATAGTTTTTTAAATAAAATTTATTTGGTTTAGAATTCACATAATGTAAAAATTCATACATCATGAATTTATAACCTTCATTTGTAATTAATATATTTTTATAAGTTTTTTAATTAAAAGAAATTTATGCCTATAATAATTTATCTATTTTTTATATATACAAAACTACTCTTGTATGATATTTTATATACACAATCCCAATGATAAATAGCAATTTTATTTTTAAAAATTCGTAACACTAGAAATGAAAATTTTTATGTAAATAAAATTTGAATTCTAATATTTTTTTCTAGATAATTTTATATTTATCATTATATTTTATATAATACGTTATATAAATATGGAAAAAAAAGATAAAGTTATAAAAAAATATAAATAAAAAACAGAGCAACGGGTATCTATATCAATTAATGAGCATTCTGTACCAATACAAAATAATTACTATCTGCACGGTAGTAAAAATTTATAATTAAAAAGATAGACCTTTTGTTTATTTTTATAAAAAATATTAATTAAATGGGTAATAGGTAGTTAGTATCCATCCCTTCAATCCGAACGTGACACAGACATTAAAATTATTACTTGAATCCGTTCTGAACTCTTATAATCAGCGCCTGAACTCATCAAAATTGGATCGGAAGGATCGAATACTAGATGGATCGGATAAAATTGCGATCACCAAAGAGATGGGACTGTAACTGTATTTTCCCAAGTGAACTGCCTAAACTAGTACTATATTGTAAAGATTGATTGCACTGAATAATTTCCCTTTACAAAAGCTGCATTTCATTTTCTTTCTCAATAGCCAAAAACCGACAAATACAATAACAAATAAAAAAAGAAAATCACATTATCCCATTTTATAGCTATGAAAATGCTTTCACTCCCACAAACCAGTTACTGGAAGGAAACTCCATTCTCTTGCAAAAATGCTCCATTTCCATACCTTAACACAACAACTAAATATTACAATACTCGAACTCCAACATTACCCATTTCTTTATCTTTAATTTGGTCATCACGCAAAAAACAAACCACCAACTCCAACGCTCACACTCTGCTTAGAGCTTCTTTCTCAGATTCTGACTCTGTCCAGAAACAAGAAGAAGAACAAGTAGAAGAAGAAGAGTATCAAGTACTGTCAGCAGTTAGAAGCATGTACAATGATATTGTAATCGTAGATACTGCAAAATCTAGGGTGTTGCTTCTTGACTCTACTCGTATGTGTTTTATCTAATTAATTTTGTTTCTGGGTTCAGTTAATTATTAATTTTTGTTGTCATTTACATTTTGTTGTTTTTTATATGTGATAATTATGATTTATGCAGATAATGTTCATAGCATTCTTAATAAGGGTCAGAAATGGACTGGGTCTTATTGGGTATGTGCATGATTCCTTTTTAATTATAATAATTATTAGCATTTTTTTTTTTCTCACTACTCTTGATGTAGTTTTCGAATATTTATCTCTATTTCTATGAACAGATGCAGATATTTCTTTTACCTACTGAGAAAAGAAAATTAGGCTAATTTTTCCTGAAGTTTCTTGAATTAAATGGAAATTTTGGAAAGCTTTTAATAGCAATTCTTCAAGGTCTCTTTAAAATGTTAAAGTGCAAAAAAAGGTATGTCAAGAAAGCATTATTCATTTCCCAATTGGTAAAAAGTAAAATCATCTACTCAAGATTTTGATTTTTTTTTTTAAAAAAAAAAAAATCTAGGAAACGAAAAAAAAAAATTGTATGATTTAGTTAGTATTATGTATTTAGTCTGACTTTTTTTTTTTAAATTAAGCATTTCAAACTAACTCATTGCTTTCTTTTTTTTTTTTTTTAATTTCTTCATGCAGGATGAATTTGCAAGTTTACCAGCTATTATTCCAAAAGGTCCTATTGCAATCCTTGGACTGGTATTTCACTTCATCGAGCTGTCTCTTTATCAGTCTTCTAAAATTTAATTTGTGATGCAATTTACAAATGAAAAAAAAAAAAAAAAAGAAACTTAATTAGCTCTTGTTTGAACTAAACTTCTAAATTATACAGGGTGGTGGTACAGCTGCACATTTGATGCTTGATTTGTGGCCTTCATTGCAGCTTGAAGGTTGGGAGATTGATCCAATTGTAAGGGACATTACATTTCCTTCTATGATAAACCTTATCTTTCTATTATTTTCCCATTTCCCTTGTTACCTTTGTGAGTATTGTAGAGTAGGACAGTTATCTAAGTTGCAAGAAGCTTTCAACTAAATTTTATGGACTAATTTGAAGAGTTGCAGACAATGATTTGCACCAAATCCTTCAACCAGCAATGCAAGCTTGTACTTTTTGAACTTTTTCTTGATTTGTGTGGCCAAAAAAAATATTTTCCAACAATTTTTTCCTCTATGCTGCGTACATTTTCTTGCAGATTATATTCAGTTAGAAAAGTAATATCTTTTTCCAAGCGTAGGTTTTTCAAAGAATATCTGTATCTTTTCATTGCCTTACAGGTTTCCTCTGAATCCTATAATATCAATAACTTCTTTTACTCTCGAGTTAATGTTTTGTGCGTTTTAGTTGATTGATAAGGCTAGAGAGTATTTTGGGCTAGCCGATCTTGAGAAGCATACTACAGCTGGTGGCATTCTTGATGTTCATATTGGCGATGCTCTTGCTCCCTTAGAAAATGGTTTTGGAAAATATGCTGGTAAGTGTTTCTTCTGATTTCTCATTATATTATCTTATATACAGATGTTTGATCATATTTTGCTGTGAACAAACTTAATTAATTATAATATACTATGTTATTTGAACTAATCAAGCAGTGTACCAATCAGGGGTAGTAGTTGGTCTTCTCACTTATGTGAAGAGTGGAGGTCTCGAGTTCGAGCCCTCAACACCAATTTGATAAGTCCAACGGAGGACTACTCCTGTTGTGTAGCCCGCAGTATTATTTTGGCCCATTAGATCTCCTAATGAATAAAAAAAAAAAAAAGAACTAATTAAGTAGTGTAAGACAAAACCAACTTAATGTTCATATATACCTTGAAAATTTTACCTTTAAAAGTTTGGTTATTTGCCCCATAGTTTGGCAATAGCAGATAAAAATATTAGGAATAGTTCTCATGGGTGAATGAATGTTGTTTTAAGGGGTCCATAACTGTTTTTAAGACAAGTTTTAAATGTGAATTTTTTGTAACATCAATTTTGAACCTACAAAAAATCCTATTGCAAAAGGTTTATATTATTGTGTCAATAGAATTACTCTCTGTTTGGCCCCAAATAAGCTATTACCAATAACAATGCCAACAAGCGCATAATATCTTTAGCAGTCCTATATATTTTTTTTTTCTTCCTACGAGTATCCCGAAACCCATTAATGTATGAGACTAATCTTATTTCGGGGTTCGTGAATATTCCTTCCCATAAATGTTTTTCTACTAATATAACCCCCAACCTTGTCTTGACAATCCTGTCTTAGTATGCTAGTTTGCATTCTTCACCGCTTATACTATATATATTAGTTAAATAATTTGCTCGTTCTTCACTACTTAGCTAACAATAACTACTTCAGGTATTATCATTGACCTGTTCTGTGAAGGAAAAGTTTTGGCACAGTTACAAGAGGTATGTTGCTGCCTTTTCCAACCTGGTTTTCCTGTATTTTTTTTATGGGTGTTTCGGTTAGTGCCTAGTTATTGAACTCATGATCTCCACCTGTAATTCCTTATTCATCTACCAAATTTTCTAGTTAAATTATTATTATTGCTTCTGTGATGGTGCATGTTTTCCAACTAAGATTGAAAACATGCCCCTTAAAATATAAATGGAAAAAAGTGAAAAACAAAAATTAAACACCAGACTATGCCTCCCCCAAATACATTAATCTTACCTTTTTAAGATGATATCACAAGTCAACTTTTTTGCACATTGTTTTAAAACTTTAGATTAATTTTGATGTATTCAGGTAGTCCTAAAAAACCCTGATGAACAAGTTTAAGTCAAGCTAGGGATGTTTCTGTCTAGCTACCTTGTCATTAGTCCAATAACTAATTGACTGAAATCATCTTGGTTGTACCTTCCATCAAGAGAGATTTTATGTTCAAAAACTAGGTAGAGCAGATAGGATTTATGAAAAAGGCAAAAAGCAAACACCTTATACTGTAGCTCAATGCCAAGTTTAGCTACCGAATTCATAGAATAGATTACCCACAAAAAAAATGTTAAGTTGAGAAGTGAAGGGAAAATCCTTTGTGACCAAACATGGTATTTATATATTAGAAATTTACATGCTATTTACATATTTCACTACTGAATTTGACAGGTTGCAACTTGGTTGGAATTGAATGATAGATTGATGCCTGGTGGTCGATTTATGGTGAATTGTGGTGGCATCGATGAGAAATTAGAAAATGAAAATGCCATAACAAATCCTAAATCAATTGACTGGGTTCAAAATTCTACTGTCAAGGCATTATCTAAAGCATTCCCTGGACAAGTATGGCATTTTCCTCAATTTTCTTAGTCTTATTATTAGTATTATTATTGTTATTATTCTCATTCATGTTCTTGAAACTGAATATAGAGGCATATGTCGTGGTTTATACATTTGGACTTGGTGCACTAAATCTTCTCTAATTATAATGTTTCAAGAATAAAACTTGCATAGAACACTTAGACATGTAAGTATCCGTGGCAGAAATTGGTAATAACAACAAATGGCTTTGATACCGAACTACGAAATATAAGACGGTAAGGCTATATTTGATGAGCCGTAATAAAGTGTTATCAAACGCATTACGTTTCATTATGGCTCATTAAATATATGTAAGTTTTTACTCATTAAATAATCTTTTATTCGACGAAACATACGTCTATGAGGCTACAATTTTTACATGGAGAAATGCATATCCTCAATGCACAAGACTTCCTTCTCTATGAAAGTTAGGAGAGCATAATGTCTATGATACTCAACCTTCCCTTTAAAAAATTTGTAAGATTCTCTTTTTAAAAAAAAGAAATCTTAATAACTTCAAAGAGTTTCCTTAAGAACCATGCAATTGTGTGTTGGGTTCATATTAAAAAGGTGTAATGACAACGCTCCAAACAACTTATCAAAACTAAGTTGATGGTCTATTGCTATAAAAACTTTTGGACACAAGTCATTAAGAATTTTTTTTCCACTAATTTAGGTATGTGTCATATTTGTTATTATGAGCTTTAAGAGTTCGCTTTCTCAACATGTGATGAGTTATTAGATTAGATGTTGTTGAGACAGACAGGAGTAAGTTAATAATTGTTTTAAGATTTGATTTGAAACAGGTGTGCTGGAAAAGAATGCCAGAAACAGAAGCTGCAAATTTTCTTGCATTGACAGGACCTTTGCCAGATTTGACATTATGGTCTTCTAAAATTCCATATCCTTTAAGTGAAACTGTGAGGGAATGGAGGCCTTGTGATTCTATTGCCTGAAAAGACTTTTTTTTTACTTTTTTGGGTGTCTGAATTTTGTATTATTTTATATTTTAATACCCTAATTTTGTTTTTACCAATTAAGTGTGTGAATGGACAAAAAATTTTTCAATTAAATACATTTAGCTAAATTTATTATGAGAAAACTAACATATATTACTTTATTTAAACCATACCACATAAAAATATTGACTTTATTCATCTATTGTATTTATTTGTTCTTCACTTTCTTCTATCTTCTATCTATTTTTCTCTTCAAAAATGGAAATTTATATCCAATTTTTTTCCATGTTTTAAGAAAATTTTAACAGAAATGAGTTTGAATGTAATAAAGAAAGAGAGTGGAAAGTTACGATACATGAATAAAATGGAGGAGTAAAGTAAAATAGTTTTATATATACATATATATAATCAGGAGATGTAATCCCTTTCAGGTCGTAGAGTGTTAAGGTTTTTTACTCTCCCAGCTAAATGTGTTTTCTGGAAATTAAACTTATGTTCTCATCTTTAAGAGAATTGAGATTGTTTACTACTCCAATTAACACCTTGTTAGTAGTAAAATTACTATCTTAAAATGGTCTGGTCATGTCCTAACTAAACCGCCGTGTGCTCCATATTGTTTCAAAAATATTAATAAAAACGTGCAATGAACAGAATACAATGAAAAGAAAGGATTTAATATAGTCCACTAAAACTTAGTTGTTGGAATAGTCTGATGAAAAATTCTAAGCAAAGTACATTTGGAAAAAAATTATTCGGAGTGATAAAAAATTAATATTAAAATGAATGATGGGCAAAATTCAAAATTAATTTATGATTATCCTTTCATTTTTCGTTCATTAGTGTTTCTCTTAAAAGTAAAACAGTAACCGCACGTCAAGACATAGTTTAATAGTAAATCATGTAAAATCTCGCAGTACATCCAAAGTCCTGGTCCTTCTCCTTCAATACTCAAAAAAATAAAATAAAAGAGCAATATTTGTTGGTTGAGAGAAAGGACTTGGTTAACTTTGGGCATGCTAGATGTTCTATTAGGCTGTTTAGACAGTAATTTAAATTAGAGGTGTTTAATAAAAATATCTCTTTAATTAGCAATTTAATTTAAAATGATAAAAAATGACATTAGTTATTTAATTAGCTAAACAATTTATATGATTGCAAAAAAAATTAATTAGTTATACATTATAATGTTTAACATTTCATAACCGAACACTATAGTTAATAGAGATAAAATTTTGACTTGAGGGTATATTTGGCAACAGCTTTTTAAGTAACTTTTAGTCAAAACGCTAAAGGCTATCTTTTATAGTATTCGGTAACATAGTGATTGAACTAGCTTTTATATGTTAAGACAACGTTTTATAAACAGTTAACTTATATAATGTTTAACTTTTTGCGTTTTATAAAAAGTCACTCAAACAACTAACAGCTAAACATCACTAAAATAACTAACAGCTATCAAAATAGCTAATTTTACGGAACAAACCCAAAAACTGTTATCCGACATTGCCTTTGTATGTAAGGTTGGGTACTAAGGTTGTAGAGTACCCATTTACTTCATATATGCACCATCTCTGAACGTGGAGAACATGATGATCATGAAGAATGTGGCTTATTGCTCTATTTCATAATTATAGGCTCTGGAATATGGTTGTCAGAGTGACTTGCTTCTTTCCCAATTTTGGACACTTTGGCTATCATCTTTGTACATTCTCCGCGTAGCCAAGTTAGTGCACCATTTCCTTTTTGAAATGCTCCAACAAATAACCATTATCTGTAACTGCTAAATCACTTCCATGCTTTTTGCTCCATTTATCTTCATTCTTATTCGTAACAAATCAAACTTATTAATTTGAATTAAAACCCACTTGTTAGATATTTAATTTAAATTGGGCCAATGCATAAATCTACTTTTATATTTTACGTAAAAGAAAAAAACATTACAGACACCTTCAATTTTTATATTGATTTATTAAATATTTCAACTTGGAAAAAGACTATATTAGCCATATAAAAATAAAATCGATTAAACACTTATTTGATAATTGAAAAATATAAAAATTGTTCCAAAGATTATATTAACTACATAAAAGTGAAATTTTGCATATAAATGCTAAAATCACTAAACAGACTATAATTGAGAGGGGTATAATAAGTTACTCTAAAGTTTAGAGTGCTACAATTTTTTTTGGTAAATTGTTTGCATAAAATTTTAACAGTTTGATTAAAGACTAATCCCTTTTTAACCGGAGGGCGATTATGTTGAAAGTCTTTTTAAAATGCCAACTCCATAACTCAGATCCTACAATTACCATTACACATTTAAACTTAATTCCATATGTTGAACTCTTAACATTTGGAATTAGAAGTTGTGCTCTCTTCAACGATACACCGTCCCACATATAGAATTAAGTTGAAACCAGAAGAATGGAAGTATCTTAAGAAAGGAGAGTTGAAATCTCATTGCAGTACAGCTATAAAAGCACTAAAAACATCAGAAAGTTTGGTACAAGTGCAGATTACAATAAAGCTGTCCCATTTAAAAGACCGGGAACAAGCTCTATTATCTCTCTCTCTCTGGAAGCTAATAACGCCCACCCATACTCAAATCACTGTACAAAACAATCCTAAAGAGTATCAGCAGAACAAGTATCACTCCAGAAAATAATTTGAACCTATAACAAAATGCAGCAGCAGGAGCAACCAGGGGCGGAGCCAGCTCTCTTTAAAAGGGCAGAGGGGGCCAAGGGTGGGGAGGAGTATGGTTTTTAAGAGTGGGGAAGGGCCATGACCAGCTTAGGTGGAGGAACAACCAGCCAAAGGTGGAGGCAACACCCTTCATTAAGGGTAGAGGGCCCAAACAATGAAAAGGATTGGGAAGAGTCATAGTTTTTAAATAGGGAAAATGGCCACCTTAGGCCCCTGAAGAACTCTGCACCTGGCAGCAGCAACAAACTATATGTGCACACCATTGAAGTTGGTATACATACCATCCGCTGCAATTTTCGCAAACTTCGCAACATTTCCATTTTGGCAAACGTTTACTTTTTGTATTGCAATGCCATTTCCATTTCCTATTCCACTGAGAACCCTGTGGCCTTGCAAGAGACTATCTAATTGCCCACATGCTGCTGCTATTAACCCTGCAATGTAGATTAAAAATATACATTAGAGTCCATGTCGAAATGAGAAATTTGAGAAAAAAAAGTATTTTGGGTCTGGTCGGTATGAATGTTGTTGACAAAAAGCACTAGATTTAGAACATTGATTAAAGATTGTTAATGTTCGTTTTTAAGGTAAATTTAACAACTTTATAAAGTTTGAGAACAGGTAAACCGGGATTTCCAAATTGTTTAGCTGTTCTTAAAACCGTGATGTACCAAAGCAATCAAAAAAAGTTAAAATACAGGTTTGAGTAGTCCCAAACTCAAACCTAAAAATGGAGCCTACGTAAGGAGTACAACACTACACAAGTCAATATTGGAATGGATAGGATAGATACCTAAGAATAGTGCAGAAGGTTTTCCTGGTCTTGACTTAAATTCAGGATGGAATTGAACACCGATATAGTATGGATGATTAGGCAGCTCGACAATCTGTGACAATAAGTAAGCCAAAAACAATTCAGAAGCAATAATAGATACATACAGCCACTAAAATCTCAAAAACATATTTTAGAATGTAATTCTTTTTTATTTTTTTTTCTTTTAGTCATAAATATGTACCTCCATTCGTTGACCAGTTTCATCCTTGCCAGTGAACAAGAGCCCAGCATCCTCCAATCGACTGACCATATCGGGATTGACCTGCCAAAAAAAAAAAAGGCTTTATTACTTCTGACTAGTTGTAAGCAACTAAACCTACTTCAGGATGAACATATTTTTGCTTCATACCTCATATCTATGTCGATGTCTCTCATCAATAAAACTTTTATTTCCATATCTGATAAGATTCACATCACACATCAGTTAGCAGCCTCAAACATATGCATGAAGATACCAGTATTATTTTACTTGCTTCTTATTTTGAATGACTAAATCTTTTCTTCAGCTACTCCATATACTTACAATTTTGCAGATTTGCATTCCATGACTTTGAAATAAGTCCTCCTTGACCCGACACGCATGGTACCTCCCATATGTGTTTTTGAGCCCTATCAAAAAGGCAAAAATATCAGACTAACAATATAATTAGATAATCTTCGTTTTCATTGTAATTCAAAACTCGGGAATGATCTAAAACCTCAGGCATGAATATGACACAAGGATTCTTTGTGTTTGGATCAAATTCTGTGCTATTAGCGTCTCGCAAACCAAGAATAGATCTTGCAAATTCAATGACTGCAATTTGCATTCCTAAACAAATACCAAGGAATGGAACTCTATTTTCTCTTGCATACTTGGCTGCAAGAATTTTCCCTTGAACACCTCTATCGCCAAAACCTCCTGGAACAAGAATGCCATCTGCACCCTGAAGAAAGAGAGGAGTCAGATGGGCTTCCAAAAGAAGTCAGCAGAATTTAAGAAAGGTAGGATTATCAAGCAACACAAACCTTTAACAACTTCCACGCAACCTTATGAGCATCAGGATTCTGCAAAGAAAGAGTTCATGTAAAGACATTCAAGGTAAAATATTATAAATTCAGACAAAACATACGCTCTCAGGATTCTGAATTAATAACCTCTTTTGCCATTTGATCCTCAAGGTCGCAAGCCGGAACCCAGTCTACAACAAGTTTCTTACGGCAAGCAACACATGCATGCAGAAGAGCCTGCCAGCCGCATAACATCTTTTAATAATATATAAAATTCATGATACTTTCATTTGCTTCTATAATAATTACACATGTTCTTGCATGCACGGATGGTCACACTTACACGCACACACAAACATATCGAGATTGAACTACAAAAACGAGAAGAAAATGGCAAAAATAAAGATAAATTGTATTTACTACAAGAAGATTGCTGACAAACTGGAAGCCAATAACATGTCAACTCATGTTAGTGTTATGGTTAGACTCTGAATAGCTTCTGGATATTTATATGCCAACTTTTCTTAAATTATTATGTAATTAAAAAGTTATACCAAGTAAACTATTATGCACACTTTGACATATACCAGATCTTGTAGAGCTAGAAAGATGTAAAATATAGCAGACATTGCTTTGAAAATTTGTGTAGTAGAAAAATGTCAAATTCTTGTAATTTAAAAACTACCATTGACGAAAGCTACTTTAGTAATTCATAAGAACTCAAATTCCGGTAGAAATGCTTCAAGCTCCCAATTTTATAAAATAAAATAATATTGTAAACATAATTCAACAGTAAATAAAAAAGGACAGCAAAAAAGTTGAAATCCATGTCCCCATCATTAGGAATTCCAATTTTCAGAAGATGATTGAATGGCTTAGAATTAAAAGCAATAATTGCCATAAGCTCCACAAGCACCTGTTATAAAAGACTCCAATACATGAATACATTCACTTTCAGATTGAATAGTAGCTAATTGTTTTCAAGTACTGATAGATAAGCACACCTTTATTACTGACAGATATGAATCTGAAAGACCTGTATACTTCCCGACCATAGCAATTCGGACCTGTCAATTCACGGTTTACAAATATCATCTCAAGCAACAATCATTGAAAATGTTGGTGAATATTCATCATTTGAAATTGTCCTACAACCCACCGGTTCATGCAACATGTCACAGATATCGGCCCGAGTAGTCCACTCCTTTAAGTTAGGTTCCCTAGTAGTACTGCATATTATAAGACATAATCATAAAAGGATCCAGGCAACAGAAGATACCATGGAAGAGGTAGTGAACATGCATCAAAAAGGGGGGAAAAGAAACAATGAGAAGACGAACCCAAGAAGATTCAGCACTCTCAAAATTGATTCATGAGCCTTCTGATCCTAATTAAGAAGAAACATATCCAAATGGAAGTTGTAAGAATTGGAAGCTTCCACACTAAGATGAATCTCACTATTGCCAAAAGATTACTTACTTTTAAAAGCAAAGGAATGCGCCAGATATTGGGAACATCATAAAGAGTGATGATATTTTCTGCCTGAAAAAAAAAAAGTTAGCTCAACTCAAACAACTTGCAAAGTAGATTATTAAGAATTCAAGTAAAATTCCAAAAGAAAAAAGGTTTACGGTTCTAATCAACTCACTGGGACATGGCAAAATTGAGAGAGTTTCATCTTTACATTCTCATCTAGTACCTGCAAAAGCAACTCGTATTTGAAATATGAAGCCAAGATAATTACTTATCTGTGAACATGTGTTAGAGAGAGACAGAGAGAGATATATGTACCGATGTGCTGCGACAAGCTAAGATATTTGGTGTCAAACCTAAACCTCTCAATCCACGAACACTATGCTGAGTTGGTTTAGTTTTCTGAAAAGAGTAAATAGTTTATATATAAAGACATTGAAATAGATTGATATAGACAAAGAAGATGCACAAAGACAATAACCCTCCAAATATTTTTTCCAAAATTGTACCTGTTCACCAACAACGTTTAAAACAGGTACAAGGCTGACATGAATCAAGCAAAAGTTACCAGCTCCTGATACAAAGTGTTGATTAGAAGAAGAATCAATAAAAAATATAAAATCTAACTAGAACACCTAAATTGCGGCTTAATTTTACTTGTAGTCCCTAAACCTATGAGATCATTATATATTTATTTAAAATTGTTTTTTCTTAATCTCATGACTCGTCAACATTACCTTTCCATCACTGAAATTTGTGAAGTACAATATCAGGATGCTTTTGTTATACAGATTGATAGTTGATGTGTTCTATGTATTAAAATTTAGGTATATTAGTGATAAATTCAGGAACAAAGGGCGAAATTAAGCCCCTAAATTGCATAATAAAATGGAGTTTCATAGGCAATGTTCTTATTTTCTTACCCACTCGATATGAGAACTGTCCTAGAGCTTCAATAAATGGCATGGATTCAATATCTCCTGTAAGTAGAAAAGTTGCTTGTAATGGACAAGAAAATAAAAACATGGAAAACAGCTCTTCCTGCTATTTATCAAGAATGTTTTTATTAGTTTACCTATAGTGCCACCCAATTCGACGACACAAACATCGGCAGGACCAGGCATTCCATCTACTGGTATCATTGCTACTCGTTCTATCCATTCTTGAATTTCGTCTGTGACATGAGGAACAACCTACAGTTTGCAAGGATATAAAAGTAATTAGAAGAATACGTAAGGCAATTGCAAGAAAAGTTTTACAAATGGGTTAAGTGATAGAGGATTAAATACCTGCACAGTTTTCCCTAAATAATCTCCCCTTCTTTCCTTATCAATAACAGCCTATAATTGAAAAAAAAAAAAAAATAAAGGACAAGAAGAAAACTTTAGTAACAGGACTAGGCTGGCTAATGATACTTAATCTTCTGGTTTATGTAATAGCAGACACATAATAGGCAAAGAAATTTGCAAATTGAAGGACTTGCCTGATAAATTTTTCCTGTAGTGATATTATTGTCTCTTGTCAACTTGATATCTAGAAATCTCTCATAATTTCCAAGGTCCAGGTCCACCTTTCAAACAACAAAAACAAGTCATTTTCTTGCAACTTATTCAAAATTTCAACACCTTTTTATTTCTGTTTTCTGTATTTCTTTTCTTTCTTTCTTTCTCTTTTTTTTTTTTTTTCTTCTGCAAATTGAAGGACTTGCCTGATAAATTTTTCCTGTAGTGATATTAATTTGTCTTTGTCAACTGATATCTAGAAATCTCCATATTTCCAAGGTCCAGGTCCACCCTTTCAAACAACAAACAGTCATTTTCTTGGCAACTTATTCAAAATTTCAAACACCTTTTTATTTCCTGTTTTCTGTATTTCTTTTCTTTCTTTCTTTCTTTCTTTTTTTTTTTTTCTTCTCTCTTTCCTCCCCTTTGACAACTTATAATATTCTTATTCTCTTTTTTTTTTTTTTTCTTCTCTCTTTCCTCCTTTGACGAAACTTATAATCAATTCTTTTTCTTTAATCTTACACCCTTGGGTAATAAGAAGAAATTATTATTTAATTTTCTTAGTTGCTCCAGAAAAAAAGAACAGGTAGAGACATGAGATTCATAAAGTTATGATCTGATAGATTCATAAGAAATTACTGCTTTTTATTAATATTTAAAAAAAAAGAAAAAAAAGAGAATTTAAGGAAGAACATGAATATATACCTCTCCACCATCATGTAATACAAAAACTTCACCATGTTCAAAAGGTGACATTGTTCCAGCGTCAGTATTTAAGTAAGGATCTGAGTTCAGAAAATAGAACAAACATTTTGTGAGCTTTGGAGCTTCTTTTTCAAAAAAATAAGTAAATAAATGAATCTAAATTATTTTAAAATAAACTATAAATTAACTGTAGTTGGATATGAGAGTACAGAAATCACAAAAAGGATAAAAGGTTAAAAGAAAAAGAAAAGAAATCAACCAAAGAATCTAAACAACACCAACTGAAAATCCACTAAGTATGCAAAAAAAAAAAAAATGTTAAAGCACATTTCTTTGATAAAGGAAAAAAGAAAGCATAATCCTCTTCTTATTATAAAAAAAAAATTAAAAGGTACCAAGATTTCTTACTTCTCTCTCTCTCTTCCCCCATTTTTCATAAAGAAACAAGAAAGCAATTAACAAGATGAATTACAAAATCCACCTAATGATACCAAGATTTCTACCAAGAGAGGAACATTTTTCCTATAACACAAACATTAAAAAAAGAAAAGATTTGTATTTTCCTTTCTAGTTTCAACAAAAGAAAATAAAAGAAAGAGGGAGGAGCAAGAAGAGACCTATTTTGATGGAAGTAACACGAAGTCCACAAGCCTTAAGAAGAACTCCAATACTACTAGCAGTAACTCCTTTGCCCAATCCGCTTACTACTCCTCCAGTCACCAACACGTACTTCATTTTCTTCATTTTCTTTATTAGTTATGCGCCAACCTATTTATTTTGATTTTTTCACATTTATCAAATTAAAAAGAAAAAATGAGATAAACCATGGAAACCAAACAGAAGAAACTAACAGAAAACTAAAAAAATCCTGTCAAAGAAAAAAGAACCAGAAAACCAAAAACAGTCCAAAATGGAAACTTTATTAATGCTAGTGTTATTTCAATTTAAACAACCTGAACAGAAACAATAACAAGAAGATTTGTGGCCTCTGTAAATCTACAAGCTTTGTGTTTCACTGGGTAAAAAGAGCAAACACCATGAAAGGTGAAGCTTAAAGAACCAGATAGAGAAGAAAGCAACACTGCAGAAGAGAAACTAGTAATGGGATATTTTAGACGGAGAAAAGGACGAAGAAGAAGAAGAGAGTAATAGCTAATGAATGAGATTGGCTACTCTTGGCGGCCTTTTATATTCAGAACAGGTGTTACGCCCCTGACTCCCTGAGTGCCCTTTCTCTATCTAAAAATAAATAAATATATAAATAAACAATTTTTAAGGAAAAAAAATTCTTTTTTCTAAAACATGGGATTTTTCTTTTCTGTTTAAAAAAATATTTGTTACCATTTTGAATAAATTAATAAAGAGCAGAACTGAACAGAACAAGAGCATGTTCAATATAAGGACTAAACACAAACTTTTGTCTTGTTGTCTTGTTGTAAGAAAACTCTTTTGAGTCTTGTGAGCCTGAAACCAACAATCACTCACCCTTTAATTTAATCACTAACTATCTCCCAACTAAACTGGGAAATCAACAGCCAATTTTTTCAGTATAATCAGGATTTTTCTTCACAATAAAGTGTATTTTTTGGAATCAAACTTGTATTCTCGTCCTTACGAAAATTGAAATTGTTTTCTATTGATTTAAAATCAATTGTTTTTAAAACTCAATTAGAAATTGAGATTTGAGCAGGTGGAGGGAGGGGACTGAGGAGTGCCCTAAACTCCAAAATTTTTTTAAATTGAGTAAAAAATACTTTTTTTATTTAGTCTCTTGCAATTGAGAAAAAAATTTGTTGACTCTCATAGTTTAGAGTCTGACTCCACCTCTGAATTTGAGAATTAAATTGTGATTAATTGGATCAACTAGATTAACTATTTTTTATATTTTACTCACTCCGTCTCCCATATATAGGCTCATTTTTTAATATACCCTTATTTAATATACATCTCTATTTCCAATTGTAAATACATCATTTAATGTTATAAAAGGATAGTTTTGAAAAAGGCTAAACAAAAAATATAGTTTAACTGTATTAACTAGTTTTTCTTAATCTACGTGAAAGTAAAACTAGGCATATATATATATGGGACGAAGAGAGTAATAATTATTTATGAAAATTAAAAATATATATATATAATAATACTCCATCTATCCCAAAATACAAGTCATTTAAGATTTTTGCACAAAAATAAAGGAAACAGTTAATGTTCCTAAATTATAATAAAACTAAGAATAATTGGACTAAATTATTCAGTACTAATAGTTACTAATTTGTGAAAAGGTAGTTATTGTATAAGGATAATATTGAAAAAATATCATTTGTTACTCATTAAATATTTCAAATAACTTATATTTTAAAATAAAATAATAAAAAAAATAACTTATATTTTAAGAAAGAAGAGATGACTAATTATAAGAAAATTTATTTTTCAAACCATCGATCCATCTTCAAATACCAATACTAATAAGATTTTGCTATTATTCTAACTAAATAAATCTCAAATAAAAATATAACAATAAATTTATAATTATTTTCACACCATTCATCTACAAATATCAACATAGTGTTATCAACTTTCAAGTTATTTATCAATTAAATCAAATATAATGTGTTCAAAATAATAATAAAAATATTTAGACATAAGTCATAACTATTTATATATTTATAAAATTTCAAATCATTGATCATTCATATTAATTATAAAAATATTTATTTATTCCAATATATTTTGATATCTTTAAAATTAAATTATAATTTTTGCATCATTTTATTGTTACTATCCATAACAAAAATAGCGAACTACGCTATCTTCTGTAGCACGATGCATGATTGATCGATCTTCTGCTTCCAGCCATTGTGGATCCAATACCATAATCCCGTATCGATTTTCTACTTCATCATATATCATTTTTATTTTTTATTATTTTTTATTTTTTTGACATTGAAATATTGCTCATATATTATTAAGAGAAAAAACGAGCAATACAAGCGGGAATAATATCCCAAGTGCGAAAACAAGCCCCACTAGGAACTGATTTAGCCAAAACATGAGTTATATCATTTGTTTGTCTTCTAATCCAAGTCAACATGACATTTGGCATTTGGACTAAGAGCAACTTACATTTAGAGATGACAACTCCAAACTCAAACAAGTCTTGGACAGAACTCCTTATAGCATAGTAAACTTGCAAGCAATCGGTCTCAATCTGAAACGGAAAACTAGAGTAGTCCGACAGCAACCAGGACAAAACATTTCTTAGCGCTTGAGCTTCTGCTAATGTTGGAGAAGAACAACCCTGCAATGATGATGCTGCTGCTGATACAAATCCGCCATGAAAGTTTGAAATTACGGCACCAAAAGCTCCATGGCCAACAGAGGGGAGGAGTGCTGCATCAAAATTTATTTTAAAGGTGCCAGCAGGTGGCGGGAGCCATTGATTACCTGCAAAAACACCTATATCTGAATCAGATGACTTCAGCTAGCTTTCTTCCAAGAGGCTAGCATGCTTCTAGCTCTAGTAATCACATGATAATGTCCTTCTTCTACTTGGTTCCATTTCAACTCATTACGGCTCAACCAAACACTCCAAAGTTCCATAAGAAAACTCTCAAAGAACTCAATCTCCCACACCTTGTGGAAATGTTCCAACATCTGTATGAAAGTTGGAAAAATTCCAATATTGAGCTGAACACCAAAAAACTGCCAACAAAAGCTTGCTCTTGGACACTCAACAAGTGTTCCACATCTGTATGAAAGTCTGGAAAATTCCATATTGAGCTGAACACCAACACCTTGTGGAAATGTTCCAACATCTGTATGAAAGTTGGAAAAATTCCAATATTGAGCTGAACACCAAAAAACTGCCAACAAAAGCTTGCTCTTGGACACTCAACAAGGACATGGACTAATGTTTCAGCAGCACCACAATAATCTCATATATCATTTTTATTAATTAATTAAATAATTAATTAATTGTTAATTGTAAGATGGCTTGTTTTCAAAATTGAACACATCATTTTTATTAGGCTTTCAAAGAAATTTTATACTAATTTTTTTATAATTTTTAAATTTATTATTTATTTATTATAGATTTTTGAAAAATTAAAAAAAAATGTTATTGAACCTATGACTATACAAATTTTTGTTCAATGCTTTAACCACTTACCCTATTCAGTTTCAATATTTAAAAATTTGTCTTTTTTAGGGTATCTTTGGTAATAACTTTTAAGCTCGCTTTTTAGTGTTTTGACCAAATTAAAATTCTACTTTGACAATTGTAACTTCTTTTTTTTTTTCGAATTCCCCTAATAAAACAGCTAATGTCTTTTTTATCGTTTTCATTAAATAACTATTTTTGCCGGACACTTCTAATTTAAACCTATATATAAACAACTATCAGCTCAAAACTAATAGGTAACAATCAATAGCTAGTAAAACAGTTAACATATTACAACAATTATAACTATCGAAACAGTTAATATTATCCAACATATCCTTAATTTAAAATCCAATTGTCAATTTATTGAAAAAAAAAATTCAAATTGGACTGAACTACTGGTTAATTTACAAATTAACTAGTTCGACCATTAGTTTGATTCGATTCCAAAAACACTTATTAGAGTTTTGAACATGTTTTCAATTAACAATTGGCGTCCATACATCGACTAACTATAAAATCACCCCCAACATTTTTAAAATTGAACCGGACATTAAATCGATTTGAGAATTGGATCACCGTTAATGAGATCAAATCAATTGAACTAGATTTTTTTTAATTATTATTTTTATAATAATTGAAAAATTAAAAATATATTATTTTATAAAAAAATATGTTCCAAACCTATCAATCATTAAAGATAAATAAAAATAAATTATTATACTATTCTAGCTAAATAAGTCCCAAGTACAATATGATAATAAATATATAATTATTTTCCATATCATTCTAGTTCTATTAATTTTCAAATTATTTATCATTCAAACCAAATATAATATATTCAAAATAATAATAATAATAATAATAATAATAATATATTAACATAAGTCATAACAATTTATATATTCTAACAATTTTTAAATCATTCATCATACAAATTAAATATAAAAGTTTTTTTTATTACAATATATTTTGGTGTCATTAGAATTAAATTATATTTTATGTTATTTTATTGATTAAGAAAATAATTAGTTGCTAATTATAGGATAATTATTTTTAAAAATTGTGCATACCATATTTCATTAAGCCTTTTTCAATAAAAATTTAAACTGATTTTTTTATAATTTTTAAATTATATTTTATTTACTATGAAACTTTTGCAAATTTAAAAAAAAAAAAAGATTTACCCTTTTCTAATTTAAAATCTAACTGTCCAATTCATTTAAATATATATATATATATATATTATTGTTTTGAAATGTTTGACTTTATTCGTTAACTGTTCTTTTCATAAAATTAGATAAGATCAGTTATCAGTTAAGTTGCAATTCAATTAAATCAGTCGACCTATTCATTCAATTTAATAATCTGACGCACAATACTTATCCACGTGTATTTGTATCACCTGCTTGGCTCCAATCAAAATAGATTCATTCATCAGCTGTTTAGCTAAGCATGGTAATTAAAAATCACCTACTTTTTAACTAATTTAGTGGTTGGATTAGTCAAACCAAACCGAAATTTATAGTCATTCAGTTTGGATATTCTTTTTAATAGAGATTAGAGACTAATAAACGCGTTTAAGACATTAAGTGCTATCTATGAGCTATGCAATTGAGAGCAACACTTCATCTTCTATTTTATTTTATCCATAACCAGACTTGTTCTTATATTTGTATGTGTCATATTCTTATAATTTTTTTTTTTTTTTCTGATGTAACATTTGATTTTTTTTAATATATTTATTCACTTTTGCATTTGCTAATTCGATTCCTAAAATTGACATGATTTTATGAAGAAGCGTGGCATTATTTCTAGTTCATGTTTGGTCATTGTTTGTATGTTTTCTAAAAAGGTCGATTCTTGTATATATTTTTATTCACATGTTAATTTACATTAATTCTATAGTTATATTTAGAATCATTTAAATAAAATAATAAAAAAATTAATGACAGGTTTGGAACTTTGGTTGTTGTATTTGGGACTGGGACAGAGGTTTGAGGTGTGACCCTGAC